GGGGGGGGGGGGGGGGGGGGGGGGGGAGGAGGAGACAGAAGACCGAGTGCCGAATTGACTTTAGTGACGTCACGGTGTTACATGTGAAACTTCAGTGTGAAAGTGTCACGTGAACTGACACCAAGTCATTATCATCGTAACGAGGTAAGTCATGCAACTCGAGGAAGACGATGTGGGCAAAGTGTCACCGAGATGCATTATGCAATTGGATCCTTCTATCAAAGGTGCATCGATTACAGTTTTAAATGACTCATCCAATGATAAGCAAATCGTCTGACAGATATGGAGTTCAGGAGTTCAAAGAACAAGTGCCGCGGATCAGTGAATTGCATTGTGAAGTGGGTCGTGGAATAACTGAAGTTGCATGTCTAGCGCGAATAGATCCTTAATGCATTTATTTGACTCGGTCAATGAACAACGTTTCCTCTGTGAATTAAGTTTGATGTAATTTCTTTCGAGCCTATTCTAATACAGTTACACGCGCATCGTCACAGGCACTTGTCACGTGGAAACTACTTGATATATTTAAAATTGATAAGGACGTTCATAAGCCATTTGACAACTGTGCCGTTCTAAAGGGCCAACTTTACTGTGGCTTTCAATGCAACAGAGTCCCCTAAAACTTTTAACTGATCACAATTGATGACTATGCTTTATCAATACTCATTTTGAATTTGGCTGATGTTAATATTATTATTATTTATTAATATCGGTCGATCGTCATTCACGTTTTTCTTACGCGATGGTGCCAAAGCAGGCGCAGTCATCACGTCCGGAACGACTAGGCAAGTAGCTGTATTGATTGGTTGGATTCGTCTAATTATTCATTAGATTCTAGACGTCTGCGTGCATCGTCCAAGGTCTTTCGCTAAGTGCATCGACCTTGCATTCCGATAAGTGCATTCGCGACATTGATTACTTAATAGGTATTACGAGATCCTCGTCAACGGTCAATTATTAAACTCACCATCAGTCACAACGAATCGATAACGCGGTCAAATTCCCTTTATTATAATTTACTGCTACTGCTAAGTGGTAACTTATGAAAAATGTGCTTCTCGTGCAAATACAAATGTTCTGAATAAATATTCTTCTGGTATCAGCTAATTATTCGTTGCTTCCGCATTCTGGTGAAGATAATGGTTAACGTTATTGTCTGATTAAATGAAATAAACACACAGAGAGAGACAGAGAGAGAGAGAGAGAGATAGAAAGAGAGAGTTTCTCAGACGGTATAGATTTTGCCGTGTTATCCGCTATGCCCTTTTTCAGACAATTTATTCCTTAATGAGACGAAAATATAGAGGATATTTTCGAATAAAATTTTTACGATGAATTTGGGTCAATATTCATCAAAGTATCAATAGATAAATTTAGAATTCCAAGGACTAACGTCCATTTACGAAATGGACCGACGAAATAATGTTTAAAAAAAATTTCGACTTTCATTCACTCAGCAAATTCATTTCAATCTAAAACATAGCAACTGATACTATATGTATCCCAAAAAAGTCATAATGCCAGCTAAAGACGTCATAATAACTCTACAATGCAAAACTTGGAATTTGAGCTCTCTGATTCCTTTCGAGAATATATTACCAGCAACGATGATCCAAAGTAAAAGTGCGTCAGAGGTCTGTATTGATAATTTTAATAAAGTCTCGTAAACCCAATACAAAGGTACGCGCCCACGCGACATGATACTGACAATCGAAATATTCTCCAAAAGCTTCGCTCTCTCGAGAAATAACTGATCCGAAAGAAAAACGCACCTGACAGTTCCGACCATGACGTGAACCTGGTTCGAGGGTAGCCCGTTAACTGACAAACAATCGGTCGCGTCGCGTTTTTTAACATAAAACAATACTTGCGCATGCGCACCCCGATAGGCCACTCGCATGTAGAATCGAGAGCCACTCTAATTATCTTAACGCATATTCAATTTCCAGCATAGCGACTCCTGCCCGCTTCTCCTCCGGAGAATTTTCAATGCGTATATACATAATGTATGAACATTGGCGCCCATTACACCGATCATTGAATTTCAATGTTCGCATTCTTACTTCGTTCTCGCCATGTGTCACTGCAGCTTCCGCTGCATCTGACTTTGCCCATAAACATTATTGTCGACGGGACTGCCACGTGTTGCGCGTCACGTGAAGTTTAATCGCGCGTTCGTTAAAGCGCCACGTGCTCCCAACTATTAAGAGGGAGTCATTGTGATTGTTTGCAAATCACAAACAGCGATTATCCAACTTCTACCAGGTGTCCCCTTTGTCCTAAGCTTTGGTGGAAAGTTTGAGACCACGTGCGCCAGCCAATGCATTGACTGTCTATCCTGACACTGACGAAATTACTAGCATCGACCTTTGACCTTGACTCGTTGAGGCTTAATGACATTCTAGCTTAATGATTTCAATGTGATACAGATATTTTGAAATGCGCATTAATATTTTTGACGTCTTAAGCCTATTCCGTATTAATGATTCTTTGATATGCTATAATGCAATTTCATCGCGCGATTAAAATTTCTCTGGCACGTTTTTGGAGCTTTTAATGATCAATTGTCACTTTGAAAAATTAGGTATTAGGAAATATGGAGAGAAAAAAGCTCCCGGCATGCCCTTTCAGTTGCAGATTTCTCATGTTATTCGTCTTGAGATCTGCAATATTAAATATGCAATTGACTCGAGCAATTTCAGGGATTAAATAGCGCGCTTAAAGAAAGTGAAGTTATCAAAGTTATTCGCGAGGAAATATTATCTAAAGATATGGGAATAGTTTCGAGCTTGTATTAAAAACATGCCGTGCAAGAACACCAGGCAACGCTGTACATCCTCAGCTGTGCTATCACCATCTGCGACTCGGTTTGAAAAAAAAAACCCGAATCGAAAATCAAATATCTTAACATTATTCAGTCTAACCAAGCTCCAAATTTGTTAACTCCAATCGTATACGAGAATACAAAATTTAAAAGGAAGTACAAAGGTATATAACAATTTTGACTCAATTGACCAAACCAATTATTCTTAATACAAGTCAGAAGTGAACGTATAAAGTATACAATATAATTTAATGGGAAGATACAAGTCAATACTTACATGACCATTGCCGAATTTTTCATAATACGTCCGCATGGCCCAAACTGCTGTATAGGACTGGGTGCATTAAGACTTCGTGTTCTCCTAAAAAAGATAAGCATCAGAAAAATATTAATTATCAGTACACAACATCTTCGAATAATCATTCGAAATTGATGATTTCAGTATTTTTTTCCCGAACGACGTAATATCTTTCGCCAAGATAAAAGCCTGTGGATCGAATATCCATGCAGGAAGCACGCGTCATACGATTTTAATGATTTACCAGAAAACGGAATGAGCAACGTTATAAATTTTTCAGGTCGAAAATTACATACCCGAGACATATACATATAGGGAAAATTTTATTGTAAAATAGCAGTGGCGACCGATAATGCCGTATCCGCACTTCAAAGTATACGGAAGCCTTTATGAATACATAAGCGGGTGTTGCACGTAGGTCTTTGCGTCAGTTGAATAACATATGCGTTGCCTTAGTCATCAGTCATTGCTCCTTAATGCGTGGAAACACTATTATCTGTAAGTCAGACGAGATTTCGATACCCTTAAAGCATCAAAGAACAAATCCAAATTGGCGACCCAGTATAGATTCTCGACGCCATTAACCCCCTTTGATGAATAATGACAAAATAGTGAAAAAAAAAATTATTTCAATAATTAAGTGAGCCAACATCAATGAATTAGTAAAATAAGGTCATCACCCATTTTCAAAGTCTCCATTCGATGGATTAACAACACGGTTGTGATTAAAATCGTAAAAGGACCAAAGTATAGTAAATGGGTATAAAAAACGAGCAATCGAGCCCGACAGCGACAAATTAAATCTACCTGAGTACACGATTTCGGGGTCCGTTTCCCAACGGAAGTTTGGCAACGCCGTTCTCCAGCTGATCATGCTCGTAGCATGTATCGATGTGACCATTGCCCGAGGTTCCACGCAATGGCGACACCTGATCTGTCATCCTACACTAGAGAGTGCCCCGACAAGAGTCCAACGAGAGAAATAGGCCTACAGCCTGAAGGTAGACTCAGAGCCTACAACCAGACTTCTGGCGCCTTTCTGAAAAAGGCATTATTCACGGAATATATCCTGGATCTAATTACAGGTTTCCACGAGATTTGAATTTTTTTAGTCCTCGGCGAGCATTCGCGTTTTGAAAATTTCACGCATTCGTCCATCGCGGAGAAAAGCATGTTATGTTTAATAATGATAATATCGATTTTGTAATCGTAATTCGCGCGGCAATTACAACACCGATGATCGTTGAAAAATAATTAATTGAGAACGTCAAACGCGAAGAAGCTAAGCGTGGCTGTGTCGATACTTTCGTCAACTCATTAAGTCACCAAACTTACGTCGATTATGTCTCATGCGGAATGCGAGGACTTGCGCAAGAATATGGGAATCGACGAGAAATTAGAACACGACAGTCGTGTTTTGGATATCGGGAGTGTACCACGATTGCCAAGCTGTTGGAATTTTGGAGAATGACTCGACGAAAAGAGAATACCTATAGGTAAGACTAGAAAAGAATATATGTAGAATGAGATTTTTCATATATGCTTTTTTATTCTTGATACTGTATTCTGACTCGATTGGAAAATTCGTTATAGCTGAATATTCGATAAACGTGAGTATTGGATTTGATTTGGTTTCATCATTTTAGTGTAATTGCTGATTGGATATCGATGAATTATCGTATCGGAATAATTTCGCACACCTGCGTTCCTCTTGGCACATATAATCCTTACATCATTTTAGTGTGTAATATTTTATACTTTATTTTGACTTTTTAAGTTTCACCAGTAGGAAATAACAGGTATTACGATTCTTCAATAACGTCATTTTGTTCACGAAGATTCTTTGAACATTATTTTAGTCCTTATTAATTTTCCTTTGTTTTTAATCGGCCCTCCCGTTGAGTAATACTAATTACACAAACACGAAGCACAGGAAGAATTCATTTAGAGATAACAAAGTACCATCTCGAAGTTATGTATTAATCATGAAACAGCACTTCGGGAATATCTCTTCACGTAGCAAGCGTGAAGAATGTAAATATTGGAGTAAGCTATAATAGAAAGTGATAAGTAATAGAATCGACAGGAGCAAATTTTGAGGTTAGAAGTGCTTTTCCCATCTTCAAAACCAAAAATTAATATAACCTTAAGGTAAGAAAGCACTTATTGTGAATCATCATGAGTTTGCATTATTAATTAATCGATATAAATACTGATTGCATAAGCATCGAAATCGAGAATACCATTCAAAGTCTGAGGTAAGCGTAATCATTGAGCGACACGAGGTGTTAAAACTGTATTTAAAGAAAAAATTTGGCACTGATACGACACAAAAAACAAAGTTTCGCCTAAATAACACACAACTTGAAGCAACAAACTCGAACTTGATTTTTCACAAAAAGTTTCACTAAAACAATTAACAAAAAGAGCGAACCTCTCAGACTACGTTCCACCGTGAAAATGCCGAAAGAATGGCCAAAAAAAAATGTATCATGAAATGAAAAGGAGAAGAGAAACATAACCTGCCTTATCGAGCATGCAATTAAAAACTGATGCTTTATATAAATTTTCTAAACAAACAGCACAAGTGTTGTAGCACTTATAAATCCCAGTACTGAGTTTTACGAAACATTAAACAACACGACACAGCCGCGAGAGAGCCGAAATGCAGGGCACGAGTATCAGGCACGGTGAGACGGTGAGACAGTGAGGTAACTCGCAAAATAGAAGGGTCCCTAGTGAGAGCCAGTCGAGCTCCAACCTGTACTAGCTTGTTGCACGCCGCATAGAACTCTGACAATCCTCGTTGCTGCTCCGTGGTCAATCACAACGAATAACAAGTTGTACTAGCTCCGACCCGTTCCGTATTACGATAACAAACGAAGCACAAGATAAAAGAGAGATCGACGCGATCAGGATGGAGCTTGATATATCATCGATGCAAAATCAGAGGCCAGACTGAACGATGCTCGCAGGCCGCGCGCACTGTCGCCCAAGAACGGCCAACTGGATTGGTCAGCGTCGAGTGGAAGAGAACCAGTGACGGACGATGCGGCTCAAGGCAATTAACAAATTCCTGGTGAGGCAAACGGGCCTCAGGCCCCTATTAGCTTCGGTTTATTTGACGATGGTGGGGAGATGGTGTAATCTTTGTTACACCATAATCTGTGCAATCTCGAGATGGATCTACAATGTGTATTTATTAGATTGTTACTCGAATACCGGCGCACGAGAGGTTAGGAATGGACGTTTATAAAAATTGGCGCGAAATTCAAATCGCCGTTGGGAACAGCCTCGCGAGAGCATTGCCAACGAGTGAAGAAAATTGCAACAGATTTTTACGCGTTGGCCTCGGATTATTTTACAAGGCGAAAGTTCTGGTAGCTACCTCCATTTGTCGTCCATGAAAACTGAAAAATTCGTGGAGCATTCCATGATAAGTTGATAACGATTTTATTAAGATAATTGGTTATCGCGATAGATACGGTACTTGTATACATTTTTCTTTAAGAAAAAAGTCATGACTAACCAAAGGACAAAACTTGGTCGATTTCCGAGGTCATTTTTAGTTATGCTCTATGGCACGCGACTTTCTCCTCATTGATGGAGAAATCACTACCCCGCATAGCACAAAGGACAATTCATGACGCTTCGACTACTTTTACACTAAATATCTGCAGTACCTATATGCGATTAAATCGTGCTTTACAGCGCTTTACATGGCTGACAAAGCGTAGCGATCTCCGTTACAAATGCATACAATTAATTTCGATAATTGACACGAAGATTCATTATCAATGTCTTGTAACAACGAATAAATAATTCTAGCAGGTAATGTTTCTTGGTCGCTGTTAAGAAAAAAAAAAAACATTTGTTCGAAGAATTTTCAATTTAGCGTCGAATTAAAACAAACTTTTTTATTTATTACCTAAATATTATAACACACTGGGACGTCTGTTTTTAAGTATAAAAAAAGTGCAGACTACCAAAGAAAAATTAGGCAAGCATACGATTTCTCAAAATTTTACTTCCTAACCTAACCTAACCTATTTCATCTACAACAGTAAACCTTCAGTTGCATATCCTATACATATTCAGGCTGAAGCACTATAGTATTTCTAAATATTGTCACGTATCGTACACTTTGCATAATACACTATGCATTTATGTGCATATAAAGATGCTATATTATAATTGCATCCACGTACTAACGGCTCTTGCGAGAATAGTATCTTATCTCTCTTATTTATGATACTCTTGGACTGAAACGTTTATCAACTACAATTTCGTTTAGAGTAAATGTAACACAGCAGCAGCAACAGCCGTTGCAATCAGAAGGTCCGCATGACGCACGAACTGGATACGGCACAAGTTCCATTTATTTTGTTCTTCTCTTCCTCTTTTGCATTTCTTTCTCGCATTCCTGTCTCTACGCCAGATCCGTAGCTAGACTCTTATTTGCTTGTTTTCTCATAGCGAAATGGTTTACTTGCACACGAACGACGAACTACAAGATCAACCGATCGTCTATAATTCACGCTTGTATGGCTTAGCCGCCATTTTGTGAAATTTCCCTGATTAATTTTTTGTGTGATTTTATTAACGTCGTAAAATTCCAGAAATACCTCCTATTAGATTAACTAGACGACTCCCTCACCCGTTTCCCCTGTCGCAGCAATCACTGGCACAAATCAGTAGCAAAAAACCACCAGGTATGTACGGCGAAAGGTAAACGCGTTCTTGTGAAACAAAAATGTGATAGAGGAAGAAAAAAAATTAGTGACAAATTATCGCGAATCGTATAGTTGTTCATACGTTTATGCGAGTTCAATGACTTTTTTGTAACACCTGCTCGGATAGTTTGATTTTCGAAGTCTGTGCGTAGAGTGTGCGGAAGAGAGAGGAAAAAAAAGTTCGCGGATGTTCACATTTGAAATATTCTATTTTCCGCGCTAGAGCTGTAATTCGCGCACGCGCACTCCGAAATAATTCAATTTTGCTCACTGTGATGTGTCCCATCTCATGGAAACCTCAAAAAATATCGTGTATGGCAAATGCAGACA